CGGGGCTCTCCCAGAACGGAGATTGATCATTCGAGGGGGGCTGGGGGGGGTTGTTTATCAATGCGAGGTGAACATTACGCTTGAAAATGGTTCAAAATCAACCCTAAAATCAAAATACGAATAAACCCTAACCCCCCCCCCCCCATAATCTCTTCCACATGCTTCCCTAGCTATCCCTAAAATCTCAAGGGGGGCCTCCCGTTTCAGAAACTTCACATCTGCAACCGTAGCCGCAGTTGGGCCTCTGAACTGCGGTCCCGGCGGTCCCCGGGCCGCGGGTGGGCCTGGGAGGCCCTGCCCTCGCCCGAAGCCCCCGTAGCCCATTGACATCCTCAGCTCCAGATATGGTAGTTTCCCTAAATAGGGGAACCCCAATATAGACCCCAAAATACTATAGCCCTTATTATTGGGACCCCATGGTACCCCTAATTTTGGGAAACCCCCATATCATGTAGCTTGAAGTTACTACCACTGCCCTGAATAACCTTTAAGGGAATAGTATAGGGGCTGGGGGGTGGTAAGGGAACCCATGAAATTACCAGGCCATTGCGAACCTCCTGTTCCCCTAAGTTGTTCATACAAGTCGCGGAGGCACAGGTGGACGCATACCCATGTTTGGAGCTGGACTCATCGGGCTCATGTGAGCAGCCAAACCCATCGCACCAGGATTGAACCCAATAGGCATGGAGCCTCCACCACAAGGGCCACAACCACCTTAGCTGAACTTGAGACTTAGCTGTGCCTGCAGCGCAACAAGGGCGGAATACGCGACAAGAGTCCCCGCGGTATCATCGGCGGACCCATATTCATCGGAGCAAACATTGCCCCTGGTCTCGGCATGCCAAAGCCACCTGCCAGCAGCAAATCCTCCATGCTCTCTTTCTGGGAACTGCCCAATTGAAGCTAAGCGTTCAACAAAGGTGATCAAGAGACATCCGAGATTTGCATGCATCAGATTATTGCAGCATTTGCACATATTTAGGTTTTTTCCATGTCATCGGTGCTTTGAGTGCAGCCGTGGCACCCATGGGGAAACCCCGCCCTCCTGGTAATCCGGGCATGCCTCGTTTGTCGATTCTTTTTGGCAGCTTTTGGTCCAAGCAGCAATATTGGGGTTATTTTGGGGTAATGGAAAATAGAATGGAAGCTACCAATATTGGGATAATGGAAAAGAAAATGGAAACTACTATAGTAGTATAGGGTTATATAGGGTTTATATTAACTGTCTCCCTGCCATCAGCCTTCCCCGAAGCGCTGTTGCGCGCGTTGTTGGCGTGCTTGGCGATCCTTGAGACTTTAGGGCAACCATCCGATCGCAGCAGAACTGAGACATCTTGGCACAAGCCTTCTTGCTCTCGGCCAGGTCGACGTGTATCGGCCTTCCGTGCACGACCTTTCAAGCGGGGATGGTCTGGGAACTCACACAGAGGCCCTCCGCGAGTTGCTTTGTCTTTGCTCAGCTCGCCGCCCGCAAATGCATCTGAGAAACTGCCTGCATACTGTGCTGCATTGTGGGCCGCAACGAACATTTCAGCTATAGCAGGTGTCTTCAACTGGGACACGGACGCTTGGGTGTGATCATCCCCCCAGAGCAATGAGAAAGGTGATTAAATATCTTTCCCTTTGCATACTTACAACTCCTCTGCAACTGATTTACCAGAATTGGGACTCTAGCCGGAGTTTATGTTAAGTCCAACCCTAAACCACAAGCCCCAATATGCCCTATGGTAATAAGTAGTTTCCAAGTTCTTTTCCATTCAACTGCGCCCAACCTTGGTGGCTTCCTCCAGCGACCCGAAATTTACGAAGCCAAAGCCACGGCATTTCCCATCTCGGCTGTTGCACAATCCCTGGAGTCTAGAGGTTTGCAGGTTTGGGGTTTAGAACTTGGAGGTTTATAGGTTTAGGATTTAGGGTTAGGGTTTAGGGTTTGGGGTTTAGGGCTCATGCGGTTCCCTTTAAAGCGGATGTAAGGCCGGGATCTCGGGGGTTCGGGGTCTCAGTTGTGGGGGGGGGGGGCAGATGAGGACTGTAGCACATTGGATTCTATATTGACGCAGTTTAAGGTTCATAGAAACCCCCAAACCACTCTATGATTGTACCGGCACGGGGCTCAAATGGCCCTCAAAGCATGGAATGACTTGGTGCTGTAGCCCAAAAACTGGGAGAAAAGGGGCCTACGGCATGGGTGTTGCAGGCCATCTGACAAGATTTGACATGGCGACATGGCTCAACGTGGAAGACCTTGAGGACCAAATCGACAACAAATTATAAACCTTATGCCAGTGCTGCAATGCTTCTGATGTCCATAGGAGCAGAAGCCGACAGCACAGTGCCAAAAGGCTCGAACAGCCTTCGAAGCCCTTCATCGGTCATGTCGTCATGCAAGCCTTTGACGTACAAACCTGGGCGGCGTTTACATCAGGTTGAATTATCTATAATCCCAGTATACATACATATATATATATATTTCTCAGCCCCCCATGGACCTACCTTTTTGGTGTGTGTGTGTGTATATAAATATATATATATATTTCTATACAGCCCCGATCTAACCCAAGTTTGCACTGTGTCAAAGCAGAGCTGGCTCTGGTCAAGACACACAGTGACCCCTAGCCTGGGTTGCTGTCAAGGAACATAAATCAAGTTGCCATTATAAGGAATGAGGAAACCCTGTTCTTAATATATATATATATGTATGTATACCCATATATCATTATGGTGACTGAATTTGAGTTCCTCAACAGCAACACTATAGCTGTATGTGGCACAGTAACAGTTACCACAATGGGCAATTGGAGTTATAATATCCCCTTAATAATTAAAGGCCCCAATAACGACAGCTACTGTAGCGGGAATGACCCCAGGTAGAGTGTATTCGCGCGAACGTAATCCGACATAGCGAATAGAAAGCCCAACTTCCTTTTACCTTAGCCAATGCAAATCCCGCACAGCCAACAAAAACAAGGCGCTGATTTTGGACCTGACATCTGTCGGTGGATTTATAGCATGGCAATCACAAGCGGATCATGACAGCAAGCACAAAACCCAAGCCCCTGATTAATTAAACCCCCTCCCCTTAATAGGGATTATAATACGGATCCCAATATTAAGGCCCTTAAGAGATAGGGACTATAATACGGATCCTAATATTAAGGCCCTTAAGAGGAGGGGGTTTATTAATCATGGGTCTTCATTACCCCCAAACCCTAAACCCTAAATAGTAGTTTCCATTTTCTTTTCCATTATCCCTATATAACCCCAATAACCCTAATATAGACCCTAATATGAACCCATTAGCCCCTGGCAGATGGGCTTTTATTGCTGCATCCTCTGCAAACTGCTTCTTCAGAATCCGCTCCCTTTCGGACTTTGGCTGTGCCTGAGCTCTGCCCCGGGAAGGATGCTGTAGGGTATAGGGTTTAGGGTTTAGGGGGTTTAGGGGGTTTAGGGTTTAGGGTTTTTTAGATAGGATTAAGGGCTTTACGGTCTGGGTTTAGGGTATGGGGTATGGGTTTAGGGTTCAGGGTTCTAGTTCTAGGTGTTTCTGACAAGCTGCCCTTTGCACATAGAGTCTGCACAACGGATGTCCATCTGATCCGACCTCCTCAGGAAGATCCTCCAAGCGATGTCAAGAAGTCTGGACAAGCCTACGGTGGATGGAGGAAATCTTACACACCCTGAACCCTTTAAACCGCGACTTTACAGTGGAGGGTGATTTTCTGATTGTGATTTTGTCCCGTCCACACTAAGACTCATCAGTTCGTGCTCTGCTCGAACCCACGCCTGCTCTTCAGGACTTCGCATGTCCTTCATGTGCATCCTCAGATCTGGGGCTTCCGAACATCAAGGGTTCCAGTTTTGGGGATCCCCACAATACAGGTTATAGTCAGGATTATACCATGGTGGCCATTGTAGATCATCATCAAAATAGCATCCTTTTGATTTCCGAACGTCTTCGGTGGGATTTGGATTGCTTTTGTTCCGCATCGTGCTGGAAGCTAGCTATGCCGCAAGTTTTTGAAATTGTTTGGCAGCTCATCACCCTTGCGGCACAACCCTCCTAAACCCAAACCCTAAACCCTTGGCCATAGTGTTTCTAAAGCAGGCATTTGGCCAAGAACATACGCATTGACACTGGAGTAATAGTAGCAAGAGCGGCCGAAATAGTAAGAGCAATAGTACCTGTAATAACAGTAATAACAATAAGCCACTGAGATTTTATCACAACAGTAGGATCCCAATTTCTAGAAAAAAACCATCTCCTTTAGACCTTTTGACGGACACAGCTGTACATCCACAGCTTCAGTACTCGCAGCTTTCACGTGCGGCCAGAGAACTCCTGGATACATCTTTTGGCATCCTCATGCTCCTCATAATTGACAAAGGCGCTTCTGCGACCTTGCCCGTCTGTGCGAACCTCAGGCAAACGACATACCTCAAAGAACAGAACTTCTTCATCCGTGATGGGGACCCATCCCCTTACTTTCCAGACTTGGCAGTTGATGAAACATTCATATTTCCAAAATGACTGTCATGGACATTGGACATTCTGCCGTACAGACCTACAAGATCGCTGAATAGCTTCCCTAAACGACCTTCAGATCAACCCCAGCATTATTCCTCCGTATTCCTTTCTGTATATACTTATCCCTGTACAATCCCAACATATAATCCATTATACTAAAACTGCTTCCATCATTTTATGAAGTAAGCCCTACATAACCCCATGTCGCCCCCAAACCCTAAACCCCAAACCCTAAACCATAAGCCCTAAACCCTAGTCCTCTCTCTCCACTTCTCATCAGGTCACTGCGACTCCAGTGAGCCGCCCAAATCTGCCGAACTCCCGTCGCATAAACTCCTGCAACACCGCGGCTGTGCTCAGCAAGTTTAGGGCTTAGGGATAGGTCTCAGGGTTTAAGGTTGAGAGTTTTTTTCAACGATTGTTTGACAAAGCTCGGTCCGAACGGGCGAAAACTAAGTCCATTGGATGCTCCTTCTCCACAGCAAGGAAAACTTTCTGGGCCTCAAAAGCCTCTAAAATCGGTGCCCCATATTCGGCAAGAACCCTACTCGTTGACAAGAAACCCGCTCACCATGCGCGATCGGCACAGATACCCGCGTCCCCTTTCTAAAACGGCAACAATATTCCCAGCAGGATCGGCTTTGCCCCTAATTTTGTTGGGAGCCCTACCATCAGTCACGCCTTAATCAGCTTAAAGACGTTGTTTGAGGTTACGTGGCTCGTGTCACGTGCAAGTACCTTCAAAGACAACACCTGGACCTGCTGTTTGCCGTCTTCCTCGCTATCGCGAAAATTCGGTGAAACGGCACTTGATCGGTCTCATTGAGGAGCATCAAGGCCAAACGCTGGTATACGGAAACCGTCAACTCCAATCCACGGGCCTCGAGCTGTGCAGATCCCATGGCATGAGCCCACCGAAGGGTACGGCGGCGACTGGGGCTGTAGAGCCCTGGAAAGCAAACACGTCAGGATCTGGAGCTCAAATCTGATTGCGCTGGCTGAGTCAGCTGCCAAGGCGAACCAAAACTTTGGGACATACAGGAGCAATTCGGCGGCGAGCAGTCCAAACTATCTCGCCAGCTGCCGTCACGTGCAAACCGGCGATCAGCGACACGGAGCATACATTGTCTGGTCCAAAGCCGATGGTGTAGGCCAACCTGTTGGAAGACAGCAACGTGGAGCCATCGGTGTTGCTGACACAGCTCATCCTATCTTTCTGCGACTCCAACATATTTCTGCATCCCTTTCGGCCTCCGCACCTTTCTGGTTCTCGTCAACATCCTCATCAGCCTCCGGTGTCAAGAAGCCGTCATCCGACATCTCCCGGGCTAGGGGCTCCATGCCAAATATCGACCTGGACTGCTTGCCGCACACAGACAGCGCAGGCACGTAAACGCGGTCCCCTTACCTCTGCCTTGACCAAAGCTAGCCGAAAAGCTGCTTGAGCCAAATTGAGGGTTTAAGGTCTAGGGTTACCAGTGCTATCTACGAAATAGACATAACATAATAATACGAATATCAAGAATAATAAGAAGAAAAGTAATAACAACAAGACTATAATGGTAATGACAATGACCATGATGATAATAACAGCAACAGTGAATAACAGTGATAAGGAACTGTAGGATGCTACCTGGATAATACCAGGTTATGACCGAGGTCGTCCCCTGCTTGGTAGTGTCCCATAACACGGCCATATAGACCCCAAAATACGATAGTCCTTCGTATGAATTTGGGGACCACCAACAAGGTACCCCTGATTTTTGGAAACCTCCACTTAGGGACTGTGCCATGCAGGAGTCCTCATCCCATTTCGCAGGAAAGCACTTCACATACAAATTGGTGAAGTCGTCTGCACCTTTGGGACATCAGTGCCACGCCCTAAACCCTTAACCCTAAACTCGAAGCGAGTTTGAGGTACCAGCCGTTGAGAGCAGCTTCTTTCCGGTTCTCGCATAAACACACCTTCAAACAATTGATGTTGCCAAGAACTTACCTGTGGATAGCAAGAAACGAAGGAAAGGACCCGATAATGGAAAATGCTGTTTTCTTGTCCATTGATTCTTACTACTATCATTATTATTATTGTTATTACTACTACTACTACTACTACTACTATTGTTACTACTATTACTATTCGCGCTCTTATCATTACAACTAACAGGCAGCCAGAGGTGAGAGCAGGGCATGAACCGCACTCTTGCTCAATCTACTGGGTTGCTGTTAAGGAACTTAATTTAAGTTACTATATTGGGGAAACCCTATTTATTTAGTACATATACCCATTATGGTAACTTTATTTAAGTTCTTTAGCAGCAACCCAGTCTAAGGCGCGAACTTGAATCCTTTGGCCGCCAACCTCCACATTGTTCAGTCTCTGAATTGCGTCCATTGCCGCCTGGCAAGGAACCCTAAAGCCTAAAACCCCAAAGGGTTCAGGGATTCGGGTTTTTTTTAGGGTTCAGGGTTTAAACCCTCAAGCCGAAACCCTAAACTGTTGCTCTCCTAGAGCTCCAGAAGCTGACTTCATCCTGCTAGGCGGCCCTAGGTGGGGAAAATCCGGAGTTATAACAGGCAATGTAGACCCATGATTAATTAAACTTGGTGTGGAAACCGGTCGTTTT